ACCCACCGGGACACGAGCAGCGCCGAAGGGACCAACTTGGCGGAGGGCCAGCAGGCAGGCGGTGGATCAGGCGCACGCCCAGTGGCCCAGCACTGCGAGGGCGGGCGTCCGAGGCGCGATAAATCGGGGCGCCAAGGCGACGCAGGAATTCGGCGGGCCCGCTCGCGCCAGGCAGGTCGCCCCCCCTGGGGCGCTTGCCGCAGAGTGCAACGGCGAGACCGCTTCCGGGGAGAGCCATCGCATGGCCTCTCGGAGCAGCTGCTCAAGGTCAAGGGTTTGGCCGCACAGCGCGACGACAGGAGTAGTGACGACGCCGACCGCCATCGGCCATATCAGTTCGGCCGCCGATCGCGAGGGGCCCCCCCCGCGCTGCCAGGGCGCCATGGAACGCCCGGGCAAGTACGGCAGCGCGCGCCCCCAGCGTGACCGATATCAGGACTGGATGGACATGGTCAGCGGTGTTCTCAGGCAGATCGATGCCAGCGTCGAGCCCGCCACGACGGACGTCGAGCCCACCGACTCTCAGGCCCGCGGGGGCGTCGAGCTCGGCATGTGCGTAGGGGCAGCCAGGCGGCGTTCATGGCCCGGCGGGTTTGGGTCTGGCACTGGCAGCGCTCGGCGGGCCTCGGGCGCACGGGCAGCGTGGAGCCAGCTGCGGTGACAGCCAGGCGGCGCGCGTGGTCGGGCGGGCCTGGCCCGGTTGCTGATGCCGCGGCGGCTCATTACGGATTGCGAATGTGAGACGCAACGTTTTCTGCGGCGGCACATTGCCACTGCGTTGGCTCGAAGCCCAAATGCGCGCGCGGCCGCTGGGACCGAGCTTGCGTTAAGTCGGGCCTGTCCCTCTACAGGGGGAATTCCCAAAATAGTGAAAACATAGCCTGGGGACGATGCTTGAATTTGTTTGAACATGTTTTGAATATGTTTTGATGATTTTCAATGTTTCGCCCAAAATCCCCCCGTAGGGGGACAGGCCCGACCTAAACTAATGGCGAATTTCGCGGGGCACGTGGGCATGGCGGCCTTCGGCGGCCTTGCGCGCGGCAGAGGGATCAAGGGCCGGCGCGAGGCACTAGCGGGGGACCGTCTGCGCGGGGCGCGCGCGCGCGCGCCGCACACGCGGACGAAAGGGCCCGGCGATGTCGCCGCAGAGCTCGACGACGGAATTGCGAAGCGCATCCAGATAAGGTCGGCATGCTTCGTGGCGTCGCTGGGCGAGCATCAAGCCGACTGGCCCGTAGTTTAGACTGTCCGCCCGCCCGGTAAGCCCGACGAGCTGCCCCCTGCCCTGCACGCGGCGATCGCGGCAGTCATCCAGGGCAACGGGCACGAACGCCGACAGCGCCGCCTCACCACCGCGCAGGCACGCAAGGCGAGCAGGCCCCCCGATTCCTCGAAGCAAAGACATGCCAGCCAGGAGGCATTCACCCTCGACGCATGGGATGGCTCAGCGGCGCGGAGCCGCAAACCGCGCCTTGCGGGCGGAGGCCGATCGGCCAGCTCAAGAGCTTGCACCGCATATAGGGCGACACCACAAGCCAGCGCCGCAAAGCTGGGGGCGCGCCTTGGACGAGCGCGGGATCTTCAGCACAGGCACCTCCCGCGAGGTCACGGACAACACTTGGCGCGCAGCAGTCAGGGCTGGGTCGGGGGGGGAAGTCCTTCCTCGTCTTGCCGCGGGGCCCGACGAAGTCCTTCGAGACGAACTCGCGCAACATCCCGCGCCGCCCCGGGCGCCAGGAGCGCTTGGCCCTTCGACGCCCTCAGGGTCGCGCTCGACGCGTCCGGATGGAGACGCATCTTCATGCTCGACGGCTCGGCGGGGGACAGTGCGAAGCGCGGGAAGTGGTATTGCATCAAGAACGCCATGGACACAGCGCGCACCAAGGCCGCGGATCGCGCAGGCGCGAGGGCCTCACTGAGCTAGACCTGTCCACGGTCCGGCGGGACGCGGTCGCCAGCACCCTCGCCTCCAAGCACCTGGCGCCCCTTGAGAAATTGTTTGCGGCAGCAGTCGTCAGCGGGACCTACCGCGCAGGCGCCGAGATGGCCGAGAGGGGCTATGACGACAGCGCAGGTGAGCGCAGGCATTATCGCGTGCCAGATACGTTGGCGCATCGCGCGGTCTTCGAGCTGAGCCACTGAAAGGTAGCCCCGCCCTCCCTCCCCGCGCTGAAAGCACGCGGCGCCCAAGGGGATGAATATGGCGTCTGCCAGTCTTGCCCGCGAGCCCCGCCCCTCCCCGCCTGGCCCAGGGCGGCCACGCCGCGCGCGCCAGCGAAGATGGTCGCGCAAGCTTTCGCCGGCGATGGGGAAGTGGATATCGGACGCCTTGCATTTCACCCTGGCCCGCCCTCAGGAAGATGGCTCAGCCGCAAACAGTGCCGCGTGCGGCGCGGCGACCTCGCATGCAGAGCGACGGTGAAGGTCAAGTCGCCTCAGGACGTCCCAGCCGCCTTTCAGACGGAGGTGAGTGGCGGATCATCCTCAATGCGTGGGCCGGCGAAACATCCAAGGTAACGCTCAACTTGTCGCCGGGACGGGCCCAGGAGAAGGTGCGGTTAGATGATGTCTTCTCGGAGACACGGCGTGGCTTGATGAACATCAGGCGTGCGTTGGCGTGCGGGCGTGCCCCCAAACATGAGTAGGCGCATTCGCCGCCACGTGAGCCTCCTTCCGCGGCCGAGAGGCCGTGCCTTCTACAGCACGATCTGCACGAGGTGGCCGATGGTCGTTGGCTGCACGCTCAATGCTTGCACGGTTTCTTCAGCTGGAAGGCCAGAGTGGCCTTGGAGCGCGGGCGCGCGGCGCCCGCGATTTGGGGTGGATTGCGTGAGCCCGCAGACACGTACGTCTTGTGGGGAGCGGTGACGGACCCGCAGGGTACGCCGCCAGAGCAAGGTCATGTTGCGCAGTACGCTGCCGAGTGAACTGCGCGCAGTGTGCGCCGTATGCCCAGCTGCAGTCGCGCGGCATGGCACCCAAGTGCCCAGCTCAACGCCCTGGGCTTGTCCATGAAGAGATGGGCAGGGAGCGTTGCCTCCACCCCCGGCACAGGTCGAAGGGAGGCGGTCCTGGAGAGTTCGGCCTTCCGTGATGTGTCCTTCCACTCGGCGAGCGCGTTGCACTACTCGCAAAGTAACTACTCCAAATGGCCTGGATCCCCCTCGGGGGTTCTACGATAGATTACTCCTCCTTGCCGCATCACCAGACGTGTCCGTACGTAGGCTGGTCCAGGCGCTTGGCTTGAATGTGACATATGTCCAGCAGTTCCTCGAATGGAGTACGGTTTTTATTTCAATATGGAGTTTTCGGTTCAGCTCTGCGCGCATAGATTTGTAAAGCTTGCACCAGCTAGACGGACGGAGGCGCAGTTGTTTTCAAGAAGGGTTTTTGGCTCCGACGCCTCGCACATTTGTCTTCAAGGCTTGCAACAGTTACACGGATGGAGGCCGGCTCCTTCCCCAAATGGGGCCTTTGCTGCGGCACGGCGCACATTTGTCTCGAATGTTTGCAACAGCTACGAGGCGGGAGGCCGCCAGAACCTCTTTCCAAAATGCACTCTCGCTTTAGCGCCGCGCACACTCGTTCCCCAAGCTTGCAACAGCTGCAAGGATGGAGGCCGCCCGCACCTTTTCCGAAATGGGGCTCTCGCCTCAAAGCCGCGCACATTGTTTTCGTAAGTGCGCAACAGATGCGATCCGTTTTCAACAACGAGTGTTCCGCCCCAGCGCCGTGCACATTCGCTTCACAATCTTGGAAGAGCTGCAAAGATGGAGGGCGATCCGTGTTCCAAGTGGGGCTACCGGTTTGGACAAGAAGCTCGAACATGTGTGTTTCACAGCTGCACGGGTGCGACTCGGCTCCTGTGTCATCATGAGGCACATCGCACGAGGTTCCCTCTCAAAGAATTCCCGGCGGTGTACAAGATATACGCGTTACATGGATTCGGGTGGATGGATTGTTGTCAAAACGGGGCTTTCGCCGGACACCTCGTTGAATTGTCTGATTTTACATTGCTGCGTTCCGTCGATCTCGCCAGAAGCACGCGAGGCTGTTCATGTTCAGAGCGGGGCCACTCGTCTGCAGGCCCTGACGGTGCTCGTCTTTCCATGGGACGGTTGCTGGACTGAAAAGCAAGGCTTGCAGGGATCTGCGAGGAGGGGATCTGGGACGGGAGGGTGTGTTGGAGCATCACTGTTGCGCCCCTTCTTCCCCTCCTCGTCATCCTTCTCCCCCTCCTCCCCACAGGCGCCCAGTGTTTCTCCTCACCCTGCCAACTTCTCAATTTCCACCCCTTCACCCTAGGGGCGCGGGGCATCAGGCGCGTGACCTCCTCCCTTCGGGCTGCGACAGGAGCATTGGAGGAAGAATGACACGCGCCTGGCCCCAACCCACCCACCCTTCTCGTCCCCCCTCACTCCCCTCCTCGTTTCCAACCCTTTCATCCTTTGACAAGCTTCATGAGGTGTTTGAAGACCTCAGGAAATCCGCAGAAGCACTTGCTAATTGACGGAGATTGCCTGAGCCTTGGCGAGAATCACAACAAAATCCGACGTTTCCTCTTTGCCACTTCCCCTGTCAAATCATTAGAAGGCCCTTCAAGCATTCGAAAACCACTTCGAACCTCCCGAAACCTCATCCCCTCCACCCCCTCCGTCGACTCCCGTCCTCCCGCTCCCCCTTCCTTTCTCCTGGTCCTCTGTCCTCATCGTCGTCGTCGTCGTCGGCGTCATCGTCGTCCTGCTCCTCCTCCTCCTCCTCCTCCTCCTCCTCCTCCTCCTCCTCCTCCTCCTCCTCCTCCTCCTCCTCCCTCCTCCTCCTCCTCCCTCCTCCTCCTCCTCCTCCTCCTCCTCCTCCTCCTCCTCCTCCTCCTCTTGCTCCTGGTCCCCATTGTCCCGTGGTCCTATTCGTACCCATCCTCGGATTCCGAAACACCCTCCCTTCCTTCCACCACCAACCCCGCGCGCGGGTGGCCAGCCGCCCGCCCCCTCGCCCAGGCCTGATCAGAAGATTGGAGCCCGGAGAGCAGCTCGAGGTGCTCGAACGCCCGGCCGTGACGGCAGAGGGAGGACGCTTTTTTGATTCTCGGCGTCGTCATCGTTGCCCCCCTCCTCGCCATCCTCCCCGCCGTCACCATGCATGTCCTCCTCCTCACTCCTCCGTCCTCCTGCTCCCGGCGCCCGCGAGCGAGAGAGGAGGAAAAAGGAGCAGCAGGAGGAGGGCGTGGATAGAAAGGGCGACGAGAACGAGGCGGAGGAGGAGGAGGAGGGCGAGGACGGCCAGGACGGCGAGGAGAAGGATGAAGAACACGATGACGAGGGCGAAGAGGATGAGGACCACAGGAAGCTCAGCACACACCACTGATACTGCAGTAGATTCTCCCGTTCCGAGTGCTCTCCTCATACAGTCACAAGAGCAAGCAAGTATGGTCACGATTGCGCGCTCCCGCTAGAAAGGCGAGGGGGCGAAGGCCACGTGAACCTGGACGGCGGGTGGCCCCAAATGCGTCGTTGAGCACGCAGCACACATGTATTCATCTTCCCCGAATGACGCTACAAATGTGAAATTTTAGAGGGGAGACCGCCGTCCATCCATGCAGCTGGTGGAAGCTTTGAGAAACGCGTGCGCGCCAGAGCGAGAGCACGACATGTTAACCAAATCGCCTTGAATCCGCGTTGCTAATCGGCATGGTAGACCGGATGTCGTTGCAGCGCAAGGTCCACAGTTCAAGCTGTGCGGAGCATGAAGCATGAGGATGTGTTGGCAGGTTTTGAAAATGAACCGTCCACCCTCCGTGAACATTCCAACAACGTGTGAGACGAATGCGCGCGGCGCACAGGTGAGAGTCATACTTTGAATGATACGGAAGTGTGCTCCATCCGTGTACTTGGCATAACGTGTTAGTGACTTATTGAAAATGACCCACCATCAACCGGTGCCACATGTCTAAATTTTGCAGCTTATGGATGATCGCTACGGTGTTAGCTTAAGGACAACCCTCCATTCTGGCATGCCTGCGGGTATGACGAGGAGAAAGTGTTTAGAGGGGAGAGGAGGAGGCAGGCAAGGAGGATGGTGAGGAGGAGAACGGAAGAGGAGGACGACGGCGATGAGGACGAGCGCCCTGCCGCGGTGGCAGAGGGACGACGTTTTTTGGATTCAGCGGAGGTGTCATCGCCGTCGTCGGCAAAGGAGGAGGAGGCGGAGGACAACGAGAAGGAGAAATGTGTCAAGAGTCAAGGGGAAGTAGGAACAGGAGGACAAGGACGAGGATAACTAACGCGAGGAGGAGTGCGAGAAGGACGATCGGCAGCAGAGGGAGCAGTAGCATGAAGAGCATGAGTAGAAGCACTGGCAATAAAAGGATCAAGAGCAGGAGGAGGACGACCAGGAAGAGGACGGGTGTGGGGGCAGGTGGAAGGATAAGGGGAAGGACAACGGAGAGGGCATGGGGGAGGGGGGCGGGGAGGAGAGGAGGGCTGGGGTAAGGACGAGGAAGAGGGAGGGGGGGGCCGGGGGGGGGGGCAAGCAGGGAGAGAGAACGGGATACGGCATGGGGATGAGGCGGAGGAGGAGAAGGAGGAGGAGGAGGAGGAGGGAAGGAGATGGATTGACAGGATGAGAAGTACGCAGAAAACGAGAAGGCGTACGAGGAGGAGGACATGGGTGCAGAGGCGGACGAGGAAGAGGACAGGAGGGGGAAGCGGGAGGGAGAGGGAGGGGTAGCAGGACGGAAAAAGGACAGAAAAAGGCTATGCTCAAAGGGTGCAGATACTCACTCTGAGACCGAAGAATAAGATGAGGACGCCGAGCGGTGGGCTACATGAGATGACAACCTTCCGAATGCAGAATTCTCGGGCGCACCTGATTTGCACGAGTGATCCTTCCGCTTACCGATGAGTGGCACAGAACGTGCCGCGCGTTGTCGTCACGCTGCGCATGGGGGTTCCGATCTGGGGTTTCGCCCACGACAGGCCCAAGTAGCCCCTGAGATTCGGTCCGGGTAAGCGTTTCTCATCCCGAGTCCTTTTCTGACGGGCCTGGTGCCCGAAGGCGTTCCCCGGAGACAGGCAACAGTTGAGCACCTCCCGTCGCCATTTGTCAGCGTCGCAAGGGGGCCCGGATCAGAGCCCACCTCGCGAGCCCACCTCGCATTTTGAGACGCCGTCCACGGAACGTCCCGACGTCCAGCGGCCCTGTCGGGCTCTCGGCGCTGGCGGCGGCGGCCCGCCCCGCGTCCGTCCTGCGACGGCGACGCCAACGTCTCGACAGCGCGAGCCAGGCCCAGTGAACGAGGCAGCGAAAAGAGAGAGAGAGAGAGAGTCACCAGCCTGAAGCATACCCCTATCCCTATGACTCTAGGCCTCCTAGATGGGGTCCGCGTAGATGGGGTCGGAGGATCGCGCCGCATCGCCGATGCATCGGCGATGTGCTTCGATGCGGAGCCCAATTTTCTCCACGCCGGCGTCGCCGATAAACCGCCGACGTCGGCGATGCATTGGCGATGCGGCGCGATCCTCCGACCTCATCCACTCCGACCACATCTAGGAGGCCTCTAAGAGAGGCATCACCTGATCTCGACGCCGACTTTCAGTGCCCCCTCGGTTGCTGGGGACGCATCCCAAGGACTTTCAGTGCCCTTCGGCTCGTCGATCTCTGGGGTGGATCAGCTCGAGACTGATTATGTATACCGATATATATATATATATATATATGTTTATATATGTGTGTATATATAAATATAAATGTAGATATAGATATAGATGTAGATGTAGAAGCAGAGAGCGAGAGAAAGAAAGAGAAACAGAGAGCGACAGATAATGACGACAATAACAACAGCAACAACAACAACAACAACAGCATCAGCAACAACAACATCAGCAATAGCAGCAACAACAACACTAATAATAGTTTTAAGACTGTTCGCTCTTATCTGTTCGCGTGCCATTCAGCACGTATACCCCAAACCCTCGATACCCGCCCTCTGCGCTTCGATCGTACCCCAAGTTGGAGTATATTTGTTTTCCCTGCGACGTGCATGTCTTGCAGCATCTAATGCAGTGGAAGGGAGGACGGATAGAAGGAAGACCAAGGGGGAGGGAGGAGGATGGAGCACGAGAGAGTAGCAGGAGGGTGGCGAGGAGCAGAAAACACGCGGCAGAACCAGGTAGGCAGACCAGGCCGGTAGACCCTAACGGGCGGGTCGGGGAGGCAAGCCCCGGCAGCTAGGTCGAGCAGGCGGGTTGCTGAAGCGTGCGTCCTGCATGAATCAAGAGGAAGATTCGAGCGATAGCGCGATTGTTAAACACATCGTAAGGAAATCCACAGCGAGAGCGTGATTCCTGAGTGTCCAGGGCGCGGCGTCCGAATCAATTGCGACGAAGTACCCCGCGAGAGCGCGATTCCAATATAAATTGTCAGGAACTCCCGCGCGAGAGCGCCATTCGAGAATCAATAGTGAGGAAGTGTCAGGCGGAAGACGCTGTTGTTGTAAACCGGGGCCCAACAACGCAGTTCGGTGACCGTTGACTGTCTTCCTTTATGTACTAATCGTTTCGCTCATTCCGCCGCCCCGTATTGTGCCCTCGCTGGCGTTTGGGCTTTGGGGGGCCTTTGGGGGTCCTCGTTGGGGGTTTCTTGGGGGCCATTTGGGTTTCTGTTGGAGCCTCTGTGGGGCTTCTTGGAGCTCCTGTGGGGGCATTTGGGAGCATCTTGGGGCTTCTGGGAGCCGCTTGGGAGCTTCTTGGGGGCCTCGCGATGGCCTTTTGGGGGCCTCCTGGGGCTTCAAAGGGGCCTCGTGGCGCCTCCCGGGGGCTTCTTAGGGCCGAGGGCTCGACATGTTGTTAGGTGATCACCCTTCTGGGGCTTCTCTTACAGCGTTCTTCGGGTCGTCTTGGGCCGTCTTGGAGGCGTCTTGGGCCGTCTTAGAACCCTCTTGGGCCGTCTTGGGGCCCTGTCGGAGGCCTCTCGGTCCTCTTAGGGCGATATTGGGGGCCTCTTGGGGCGTCGCGATGCCGACGAGGTGGAGACGCCAGAATCTCCCCAAAACCTACGGACGAAAACAATGAATTGTGCTTCTTGGGGCCCTCTTCGGAGTGCTCTTGAAAGCCTCGTGGGGCGTCTGGGGGCTATCTCGAGGGCCTTTGGGGGGCCTCCTGTGGCTTCAAAGGGGCCTCTTGGCGCCTCCTGGGGGGCTTCTTAGGGCCGAGGGCTCGAAATGTTGTTTCGTGTTCCCCCTTTCTGGGGCTTCTCTTAATTAGAGCGTTCTTGGGGCCCTCTGGGGCCGTCTTGGAGGCCTCTTGGGCCGTCTTGGGGCCCTGTCGGAGGCCCGTCGGTCCTCTTAGGGCGATCTTGGGGTCCTCTTGGGCCGTCTTGGGGCGTCGCGATGCCGAAAAGGTGGAGACGTCAAAATCTCCCCAAAACCTTAGGAAAACATGTGTTTTGCCTCTTGGGGCCCTCTTCGGAGTGCTCTTGAAAGCCCCTCGTGGGGCGTCTGGGGGCTATCTCGAGGGCCTTTGGGGGGCCTCCTGGGGCTTCAAAGGGGCCTCTTGGCGCCTCCTGGGGGCGTTTTAGGGCCGAGGGCTCGAAATGTTGTTTCGTGTTCCCCCTTCTGGGGCTTCTCTCAGGGCGTTCTTGGGGTCCTCTTGGGCCGTCTTGGAGGCCTCTTGGGCCGTCTTAGAACCCTCTTGGGCCGTCTTGGGGCCCTGTCGGAAGCCTCTCGGGCATCTTAGGGCGATCTTGGAGGCCTCTTGGGCCGTCGTGAGGCGTCGCGATGCCGAAAAGGTGGACACGCCAAAATCGCCCCAAAACCTAAGGAATAACAATAAAGTTTGCTTCTTGGGGCCCTCTTGAGAGTCTCTTGGGGCTCCTTGGCGGCGTCTTGGGAGCCCCCAGGGCTTCGTAGGCCTGCGGGAGGGGGTGGATTTTCGATTGCGGCTCCCCCCTCGGAAGCCACGATCCTCGTGATGGGGTCTCGAAGAGTGGCCCTCCCGTGGAGTGCTCT